AATGAACAAGAAAGGAGAAAAAAAAAACAACCGGCTTCCCTTAAAAAATTTAAGTTAGTTTCCCGCAGCAATTCTACGCCAGAAACAACATTCAATTCGCAAGTTTTCCACGACGATTCTATGTCAACAGTAACACTTAATTCGCAAGTGCTTGTTAGTATTATACAGTTCTAGACGACCTTATAAAAATAATCAAATAGTTATTGACAATATAACCTCGATATAATCATTGGATTTGTAACTAAAACTTCATATGATTAAGATATGAAGATGTTAATTTTCTTAGAATTGGTAAAAACGAATAAATCAGTTTTTTTATAACTTATATCTATATCAAGAGTGATTATATCAAGGTTAAACTGTAGAAAGTTTTTGCTAATTACATACTGACAAACTTCCATATATGAGTGCTGCTAAGGAAAACCCGTCATCGGGACTTTCAATTATATTTTATGCCCAGTCTGTTCCCTGAGTACCGTCTAGGGAGATTCTATCATTGAACTTTTAGTTATATTTCGTGACGACTCATCACAAAATAGAATTGTAAGTCCGATGATAGAATCTCCCCAGATGGTACTCAGAGAACAAACTGGGCAAAAAATATAATTGAAAGCCCGATGGCAGGCTTTCCCTTGGAAGTACTCATATAATGTTCTATATATGCACATCCTCTTTAATTGCATCAACTACTGATGACACTTATAAAGCTATTCTCTCTAAATCACACTCTTTATAAATGTACATTCATGGTCGATGAAGAGTGCGTGCATATATTAGGGGTTTGATTTGTAACATTATTAGAATTTCTGGAATTCATAGGGAAAGTCTAGATAGATTTCAGAATAACCCACATAAAAGAATTTACTATTTACTATTTACTATTCATTGTATTTATAAACTTTTAAAATAGGAATCAGGATTAATAGAACCACCTAAGCTGTTGAATAGCTGTGCAAGTTGTAGAAAATCAAAAAAAAAATGTGTTTATAAAGGAAAATTAGGAGAGTTCAGATGCGAGAGGTGCAAGAAGAGTTTAAAAGAGTGTCTATTCCAATGCATGGAGTGTTATCAAAAAAACAAAAAGGAGCTTTCTAAATGTGTAAATTGTAAAACAACTGTGAATGGTAAGCATCATATGGTGTGCATAGTATGAATTTAAAAAATCGTAATGAAATTATAAAGCATGAAAATAATTTTTAATTTTATCTAATTCGAAATAATTGTTATTTTTTTTATCTGATTCGGACCATCGACTAGATCCTTCCACAGAGTATAGCATCGTCATAAACGCAGATAACAAAAAACCTTATCTTCAACATTCTAATTGTGACCATAAAATTGAGATCACTTCTGGTAACATAATTGTTAAATACTTAGTTGTTTCTTGGTTGCTCAAATCCTAATATTGCCTATATAATAGCTTTATTAAACGACATGACACAATCGTATGTAACAAGTGGTCAAACTTATCAAATGACTAATAATAGGTATCAATATTCATATTCACTTTAAGTAACAAATATATAAAAAAGGAATTTGCTATTTAAATCGACATAAATTATTGTCTCTCATAGCTCTCAAAAAATCAAATCTAAATGAACTAGCATCCAACCTACAATCGAATCGAGCTACTCATTTTCTTCTCCAAC